ATTAATTTTGTGCAGCAAAATTTGCTACGTGAATATTTTAAAATACTTCTACTTTAATTCAGTAACCAAAACTTGGGTGAATCGAGAAAGAGTTTAAAATAATTTAACATTAGGTCAACTCAACGGAGTGTCTCCTAAGAACTCGATACGCTGTGTTTTTAAACAAATTTTAAACTAAATTAATGCAGCAGAATTTTTTTGAATGTTAAAAACAGTTAACAAAATAATTTAAAGGACACATAAAGATAATGCTACTGCTTTAGTATGAGTAAAACAGGATTTCGAAATTTACATCTTTCAAAAAGTATGTAACGTCACGCTGTCAAGCTAATTTAAAACTTTTTCTGTGTGGTTCTTAATGTCCAAGAATATTTATTGTAAAATATTATAGAAAAAACCAAAATTATTTTTTTCTAAGAATTTGAAAAGGCATAGAATGTTAATGTCTAATGATGGTTTCATTCAATTTTAAAATTTAAAGAAAACTCCAAGAAAATTTTAAAAAACTTTTGACTGACACAACATTTTTTGAATTATTGTTAGACTTAGAAAAAATTAAATTTTTTGCCAGTGTCGAATAAATAGAAGACACCTAATTTTTGCTTTGATATTTTCAATAAAAATACTGAATTTTCGAATAATAACGTTATACTTATTTCTCATAACAGCTATGCTTACTTTTTTAGAAATAAAATGTTAAATTATGTTAAAGGAGAAGCGAGAACCTATTACAGCATATATCATACGATTTATGAAGATGATGATAAATTTCATAGAGATATTTATATGAATTTTTGATTAAATTTTTGAACAATATTTTAGAAGGCTTATCTTCACATAAATTTTATATAAAAATGGGAATAGTTGTGTTGTTGATATGAAATAATGCAATTAATAAACTGATAAAAAATTAAAGATAACACGAACCATTGCATCATAGCACTACTTTAAGGGTATTGTAAAAATGTGTTAGTAAGTTGTAAAAACAAAATAATTTATAAAACAGTAGTGAAAAGCAGCTTAAAACGGCAAGAACTAATATTCGAGCGTTGCTCAGACAATGTATTGTAATGGGATGGGTGGGGAAAAATGACACAGGGACAGGACGTGTTCTCATGTCCAGCCTTACGTAAGATAAGCAATATCTGATGTTATTAAGTTTTCTTGAATCAACATTTAAAAATAGTATTTTCCTAAAAATTTATGATATCCCCTTAAGAATAGCTTTTAACGAAACTAATGTATTGGGTAAGTTTAATGAGTTAGGTTTATATTTTGTAAGAAATTTCGGTCACCTTTATACACTGATAAAGGGTAATTTTCTTTTTTATGAATCTAAAGCCTTAAAAAATTCTAAAATCGAAATATTAAAATGGTAAAGTTTATTTTGTATTTTTGGTGCAGCATACATTTTGTATGACATTCGTAGTATAATACTATTTAGTTCTCGTACTTTCACAAAATTAAACTAACAAGTTGTAAGTAATATTCTTCTTTGACTGGTACTTCGTGCAAACCTCACATCAAATACGTTCGTACCTTGCTATGTCAAAAGTATATAAAAATGTTAAGGCAAAAGCTAATATTACTTCATTTGATTTTGTTAAAGTACAAATACAAAACAGTATTGTACTACGAATGTCATACAAAATGTGTACTGCACCAAAAATACAAAAAAATCTTTACCATTTTATATTCTGATTTTAGAACTTTTCAAGGCCTTGAATTCATAAGGAAGAAAACTATTTGTTGCCAGTGTACGAAGGTTTCAGACATAACTTACAAAATATGAACTTAGCATATCAAATTTACCACACATTTTTATTTTTTCAAAAGTTATTTTTAAGGGGATATTTATAACTACAATCGGCACACAACTTCTGCATCCTAAGCAAAGGATAGATCTCGTGAGCCAATACATAGACTTTGCACAATGAACAAGGAGCGGACTTACTTTATTTTCTGACAGCTACAGAGTGTAAAGTTAAGGTCAAAAAGTGCATCCTGGAGATGTGAGAACTGGTGGGTGTCCCCATCAGGCAAGTATTATTTTGGAATGGGTTGGTAGCGCTGACACGGATGACTCAATAATTAGTACTGACAACACTTATCCTTACTATTTGGGCTCCTGATGATACATCTAGCCAAGCCCTTAAGCTCTTTGGCCCTTTTACCACTTTCTAACTCTCCTTGCACGTCCAGCTCACTCGCAATCCCAAGTTGGTCTCACTAACTCTCAGCTCTATTTCTGCCTCATCGCGTGCCCTTTTCTTTCTACCAAAACTCCCGTAGACCCATATCGGTGGCACCGTTACAGTCTTCAATAATTGCAAGAACACTGAGATGGACTTCTTAAGAAGTGATAGTATAGCTGAGAGGATGGGTACAAATACTAATTTAATTTAAAATGACATGAAACCGACACAATTTTACCGCATTTAGGAATGCAGCTCAAGGAGTGCTGGAGAGAGTTTCTTAATATAATAGGAGATGCTTATTGGGTTATCTCGTCAGAGAATCATATAACAGTGTAAAGGGGCTAAAGTGGGTAGTAAAAGGCAGAGAGGAGGCTGAACAAAAATCTAACCCAACAAAAATAAGGCAAAAACCGATAGAATCTTATCTGATAAACAGGGTGGCTAAGGAGCTACTGAGAACTGAGGGGGTCTTTTTTAAATTAAGTGGGGTAGCTGAGAGGGATTGGTAAGGGGATGGAGGGCATTTTACTAAATTCTTACCGAATCAAAATAAGGAAGAAATCAATAGAATCTTACATTATTTAGACAGGGGCCAAGGGGGGACGTAAGGTTCTAAGGAGGATGGGGTTAAAAAAGTTTTAGTGAAATTACCGAATAAAGTCAATATATAACATAGAACGATATAATTTTTTAAGTTCTATTATAAGTATTCATAGCATTGTTAACAACAAACACAATCGTGGTAAAAATTCATAGCACCTTGGTTTTTGCAGTATTTTCAGTCAATCTTATCGAGGAAGAACATTTATGATGATGTCTTATGAAAATACGATTATGTTTACACATTCATTTCTACTATACTCTTAAGCCAAAACAATTAAAATCTCATTTTCTGAATCACAAGTATTAGCCACGCTCCATCGTAGATGATGAGATACAAGTGTTTGGAGCCTGTAAGCATGATTTTACTCATAGTTGATTGAGTTTTATTCTATTTTTTTTCTTTTTTTTCTCTTGCTCGAAATTTATACAAAAATAATTAGCATGCTACTTCTCAAAGTTATAAACTACCTATTGAAAGATGAAAGACTTTAGACATGATCAATCAAACTCACAGTTTTCTGGAAAAGATGTTGATGTTATGTCTGCAAAAAATTTGATTCATAGAAAGACAAATAATATTAACAAAGTTTCAAGTCTTCAAATAAAGTATTGAAAATACTGATATAGAAGCAAAAGTGGCTACTATCTTTAGGAGATATATATTTGTTGCAGCGATTCCGTATGAAACTCTTTGTTTATGTAAAATTTGGTAAAAAAAGTCGTACGGTAGAAAGTATCTTTCTTCATTTGGATCTGCTAAAGTTATTAATGATAATACAAAAAATGAGCTTTTTTATAGAGTTTGAAATAAATATTTTTCAACTAATTTTTAATATGAAGACAAAGATAAGAGCTTCAATGGCTTAGTGTTTAGCGTAATAGCCTCCTAGCCAGAGATATTCGAGGGGTCGTGGGTTCGAATCTCGTCGAAAATTATCGAGATTTTTTCTTGGTCTTTTTCGATGGGATAAGTATCCAGGATTCCGAAACACCATTTATCTGAATTTGAAAAAACGAATAGCGAATTTTTTCTAGTGATGTCTGGAAGGAAAGTCAACATCTGGCCAGCTTATCGGGTAAAGTCACTGTTACTTGTAAAAAGGTCGGTACAGCGAGTTAGATGGTTGATTGAAAAAATATCTTTCCATTGAACTTGATAATAGCTTGGGTCTGCTTAAAATAATCACTTCACCCTGTAAATAGCACCCAGTAGGATGGATGACCAAGTCGTCTGAGGGGAACTTTGCAAGAACCCGCACAAAAGACTCGCATACTTGGGGAAATAGGATGGTAGTCATGACGGAAAAAAAACTAGGAAGGTATTGGGACGTAGAATACGTAAGAACCCTGGAATTGGTATACGTTCGAATTATACTACGCGTTCATGTTATCAGTGCTAAGATATTAAAAACCTTCAACCGCATTTAAAGGTTATGTTATTTTGGAGGGAGTTAAAAAAAGCTAAGAAAGATATAAGTCTATTTATTTATTAATCGTAACTAATTGAAATAATAAACTTTGTATAACACCTTGCATTTTTATCATTTGTACCTAGCAAAAAATGCTGTTGTTGCACAATTGCATACAAATAGTTCTTTAAAAACAAAAAGTACAAGGATTATAGAATGATATTTTCAATATCCACAACTAAATACGTAGTTGACTCAAATATCATTTTAACAAAGCATACAAATATCATATCAATTTTTAAAGCTGTTCAACTGATTTATTCAAAGTCTGTTAACGCTAGGATAATGGTCATTCAGTATCTGCAATTTCGAGATTCAGTTCTTTTTTTTTTATATTCTTGAATAATGTAACTGTTTTTTGAAGCATAAAAATTAACAACAAGAAGAAAAAGGTAACCGCAAATTATTATAAAGCAATACGCTTACAAAGTTCGTTAATTCTATCAAAATTGTAAAACACATTTTTTTCTATTTATTTATCTACAGTTCTTTTATTTGAAATTATAAAGACTTTCCTTTTAATGAATAATTTTTAATGGAGGTTGCATTATTAATAGTAAAAGTACTCAGATACCTTTACAATGTGACTCAAAGAGAGGTAGACGAAACGGTAGTGTTGCAACAGAAAAAAACAAAAGTTTTCTTACAAATAAGAGTAAGCTTATAACTCATTTCCTGTCTCGGAAAGGCTAAAACAAACATTTTTGAAAAAAAATATTAAATAATTTACCTTCATACAACCAATCAGGCAGACCATTTGATAATACTCCAGGTACCGCTGTATTTGTTACGCGGTAAGCAAAACTACTAAAAGGGCTAATCCTGTAGTAAATGTCATAATCTTGAATCAGCAGAAGGCCATGATCTCGAGGAGTCCACTGGGCCAAAAGTAAGTAGGGATGACTGTCTTTTTCAGGATGTGGTGTCACAGCAATAACTTCCCTAAATAAAAAAATACGTTAAAACTTGATATGTACGACAAGGTAAACGGCAGTATGCCATAAATTATGACAAAAGGTTAAGAGTCTTCTGTTTTTTTTTACAAGTGATATGTACTCCATGCATCAAATTTTATCTCACAAAATGTACGTCATAGTAAAAATGTAATGAAATATAGTAAAAATTGCGCTTGGATTGAACTCTTGTAGCTCAATAGTTATCTGTAGAAAGTAAAGATGAGCGAGCAATAAGTTTTTAGATATAAAAATCAGAATCAGAATTAAGAAGCCAACAAGTGGAGGAAGAGCCTAGGCTCCTTTTTATGCTTTCTGGGCTAAAGTTTGCAAATATCGTTTTGGTTCTTGCTATATACACGTGCAAAAAGTATTAAGATTAACCTTGTCAGAAAGTCAGCTTTCTCATTTAAAAATACGTGCTATCATAAGCTATCCTCTGAAGCAAACTCTCCAGTTGGAAGTCATGAAATCCAACGATAGCACCCAAACTATCACCTCCACAGCCAAAAATCTCCCTGCAGTATCAACTACATTTTCTTGCTACAAACTATGAAACAATAAGGATGTAATCATTAATTCTGTTAAAAACATCCCTTTGGCTAACTTATATAAGGTGTTGGAAAAATATACTGATTCACACAACACCACATGTGTCGAAGATTTTTTAAGGTTTTGTATGGATTTTTTTTTTAAATAAAAGTTTGTAGATTGTGTATGCTATTAATTATATTATGCCTTTTTTCTGGTAAATAACAGTAAAATATCAAGCCCGTGTATAAGGCTTCTAACATCAAGAAGTCAATGCTCTTCTGTCTCTATTGTAAGTTCTACAGTTTTAGACACTTTTGTTTTACAAGAAATCACTAAAATTGGTATACTTTCTGATTTTTACTCTTAGTTTTATTTTTACTTGTATTCCAATCCACTTCTTTACCAGTAATCTCATGTACAATGGTCTCTAGTACCCTGGTTACAAGTATAACTAGTAGCATATAACCAAAACGTAGTATTTTTCTCTGTGCTCATAAACACTAACTTTAAAAACTTTTATAATAAAATACAAGTGTATTAATAGGCAACTTCCATTACGTGTCTTGTATTTCAATTTTTATTTGGCTTCATTCTCAATTAAAGTTGTGGTTTGAATAATCTAAATTAATACTTAAATAATTATAGGGCTCGAAAATTATAATTACCAATTTATCTTGTGAGACATAATTATGATTATTAGTTCTTAAAGGTTCTTTTGACAGAAAATTAATATGAAGTTTCCGACACGTTTATATTTCTATACTCAACATGGCATAATTTTTATCCCTTTGTTATTATGAATGTAACTAAAAAATGGTAAAGTCTTATGATTACATTTCGTTATTTTGTTTGTACATTGGGTTATTTATTCCTTCTGTTTCTCTTAAACATTTTAATAACTTATTTTCTATCTTACATTTTTAGAAATACCTTAAAGTTATGCTTTTTTATTTATAGTTTGCATGTTTTGCTGTGACGAAAGTGTAAAAAATCAAGGATTTACTTTTTTTCTTATTTTACATTGTCCTAAAGGTTTATTCTTATTTTACTTAAATTTATTAGGATATTGCTTGAATACAATAAATAAAAGGTTATGTTTTTAAACTAATAAGCACTTTTCCATTTCCAATTTTTCTTAATGTTGTTAGCCTTTAGACAGTCCGTCAAAATTATTATTGCCAGATTCTTGTACTTGATCTTAAAGCTACTATGTATTTGTGGTTGTCAATGATTAAGTTGTGATACTTAAATTCATTTTTTTAGTACACATTCATTGTAATATCTTTAATGTGCTATATTCAATAGCTCCAATTTAATTCTTTTAATTTTTCACGAATTATAATGTTATTAAGATCCAAAAATGTCATGCGACATCTCCATATAGGTCCTTTATAGCAAAGGCCTACGTGGTACAGGTCTGCACTTTTTTTATTTGTGGTAATCGATAGATAAGGTATACATGTATGCACATACACACATACATACAAACAGCTTTTTTCTTGCAGAGTATTGCAGAGCATGTCCCTGCACTGGCTGTAGTATTTTCCAACTAGGGTTTGGTCAGGCAAAGCTTCTATTTAATGTCAATGTTACTGTTATACTATTAGACAGTATACTTGTTTAACTGCTCAACTTATTTAGCAGAACCTAAAGGTACCCCTTATTAGGAACTTGTGTCTCTCATTAAGAACTTAAATAGAAAAAGGTTATATTACAATACATTTATACTATTTATAAGATAAATCAGTCTTATGATGAGCTTAGGTTTAAAATAGAAGTTATTAAGACTATTTGACTAGCTCACTTTACTATCGACATTTCTATCTTATCGATGAGTAGTAAGCAAAGTATAATAGTTGCAAAGTATGCATATTTACTGTTACAGCTGTAGTACCAGACTCATCTCGTGATTAAGCATAATACACTAAATTTTAACAGACGAAGTGCAGAAACAGTACTGTTGACTATGCGCAGATAATCAAGGTCCTGGCAGCAGAAAGAACATCAGAAGACTTATTATGTTGGAATTATAGGAGAGTAGAGATAACAGTACTAGGCTATATTCTGTAAAATAGTTTACTCTTAAGTATTCGAACATTTATCTTAAATTTTGTTAATCAAGTGGTTCAGAAAATAAACAGCTTGGTTTTGTTTTAATTCACAGGTTTACAAAAAAAATAAATAAAAGTCTTGAGTCACACAATATTCTTTATTGTATTTTGTGTAAAAGTAAGTTTAATAGCTAGTTTCTGAGGCACATATTCGATACAATAGAGTAATAAGGTAAAACTATTAACTGTTTGGTTGGAAAAATATACCATACCATTTAGCCCTGATCCTATGGACCCCTAAGACTACCCCTAACAAACCACAAGCAGGCTCATCCATATAATCCAAGAAGCAGCAGCCAGTTGAATTACCAAAATGATCTAGTTAAATACAGTAAGATGGTGATCGTTAAATCATTAACCTTCTACGTAACTATATGAATAAAATTAACACTCACCCTTAGCCTCTCAAATCCCTAAGACCACCCATAACGGCATTTTTAACAAATCAAGAGCTATCTCTCTACACAACCCAGAAAAGTATGTTTATAATCATCCTTTTCTCATTGAAATATTGAGTTTAATCTTACCAATATATAAAGCAAAGTTACTTATATTGTTATGATCGCCAACCACGAAAACTACTGAGCCGATCTTACTGAAATTTTGCGTACTAGTACTTGACACTTCCTAGATAGTTTTAGTATAGTTTGTATCTTGAAAAATAAACAGCAACAGCAACAAATAAGCTTAAAAATTTGCAAAAATATACTACCTTTTCACTTCAGCTCAGTAGGATATGCTAGGTAGCGTTATAGTAAAATCGAAGCTACCTGCAATATATTTAAGTAAATCTGGTTATTATATCCGAGAGCAAATTACCAAATGTCACAGTCGTTTGCTGGCAGTGGATCAAGCTTAGGGCTGAGAGTCGTACAGCTGGGCATCCCGGCTACCAACAACACTGTCCGCTAATGGATAAGTGATTTACGTTAAACTTCATCCTGATCCACAAGAATTGACGAGTGTCACCAGTCCAATGGCGTTCTGAACGCTAACGTCTCCAGCGAAATATCAAGAGACGTCTGGCAACAGCAAAATTTGCCATAGCATTTAAGGGCTTTAAGGCTATTATTCTAACAAACAATTAATTATAATGCAGTTTAAAGATTGAATCATCGTTTATGCAATCAAACGAATGCGCCTTACTATGTACTTTTAACCTGAGATACGCCTAAAGTAACCCAGAGCAAACAACAGGTAGGCTTATTCACTCAACTCAGAATAGTTAGTTGAATCGCCAGTTTTATGTGGATTAATTAAGATTATTAGGGGTCTAGTGTTAAACCATCTACCCTTTGATTAACTTAGTCAAAAAACTCTAAGCTTCTAAGATCAAAATTATTTAAACTTTAATCTTTCAAGTTCTTAGCTTACAATTCTAAGACCCACCGTATTTAAGCTCACAAATCCGAAAACGCTTAACATCAGGGCCCCTAAATTCATGCACATAAATGTAAAACTTATAAACCCTTAAATAACATATTGAAAGCTTTAAATCTTATTTTCTTAAGCACTAGTTTTTAATACTACAATGAAAGAAATCCCAAATTTATCTAGCACAGACCAAAAAATTTCAAGGTCTCCAACTCTAAACCCATAAACCTAAAATCTGTAAGCTTACTTGTAAACGTACGTTATTAATGTAAAGTTCTACATTGAGAATGATCTAATATTGATTGTAGTTTTAATTATTTTTATTTATAATTGTATTATAAATTTTTTTTTTTTGTTGTTGTTAATCAGTGTAGTAACGATCTCAACAATTTCTGTAATCCGTGTGATAATTACGTTATAAGTAAGGGGCAAAAAAATTTCACGGACTTACTACAATCTTAGTAAATTGAATAATATGAAAAATTTTAAATAATATCCAGAAGCTATGTTTTTCCCTGACTATCTGTGTAAAGTGCATTTACAGACTAAGAACATAAAAGAATGGTGACAATAGCCCCAGACATTTTTGATCTCCAATTATATAAATAAAATTTTAGAGTCATAAAAATGGTTGTCACAGTAGTTTTTGTAACACTACTAGTCATAACATGTAACGAGGCAAAATAGCCTCCATGTTCCAAAATGCACTTGCTGATGTAACGTAAATACACAGAGCAAAAAGTCGAAGCTTCTCCAAATTTGTTTATTTTTTGGGAGCTGTATATACGCTAAGATGAGGAGAAGAGGGCGCCAACGAACAACTAGCTAAGATGCAGAGACACAGCAGTGTCAGCGGGAAAGGACAAGGAAAATGCGAACCTAACTACCGAGACACATAGCAGCTGCTTTGTTAAGAGTGACTGTGAGAGGAGATACGGGGTAGCAGCAGCAGTAGCAGCCATTGCTTGAG